TTATATAAAAATTGATTCAAAAGTAAAATTAATAAATTATTAAAAATCATATATATATTCTATTTTTTTTTAGATGTTTCCTTATATTGATAATATTCATGGAAAATGGCATTTTAATGAAATACGAGCTATATTTTCAAGACGATATCTTTTACAAGATAAAGCATTAGAAATATTTGTTTCAAATAGAAGTATGAATTAAATAGATTATTTTTTTTCTTAACTTCATTTAAAATTATACTTTAGACTATAAAACTTATAAATAATATCATTTTTCATTTGAGCAAGAAATGATCTATCTTTATTTCTATAATAAATAGATTTTTGGAGTTTTTTTTTGAATAGTTCAATTTCGATAGTCCCAATAACATCGAAGATGAAATTAACTTGATTCATATCCATAGGAATCCTTTCTTATCTTTGGTAGAACCTGAAATTTGTTCAAGCATGTCAATTTAGTAATCCTTAATATATATAGATAATATGGTAAATTAGATTTATTGGTCTTGCTCTGAAATTCTCTTGCGAAAAACCTCTAGCTTATTGCTATACTTCTACATATATTTTTTTTAAATGAGTAATATATTAAGAGAAAAAATGATTTTTGAATTTTGCATAGGAATAAGCCTTTATAAGAATGATTTCTTATGAAAGTTTCAATTCTTCTTATTCTTCACATTCTAAAATATAGCTATAGCAACTAATACTTTCACAAAAAAAAACAAACTTCTTATTAATTCTTAAAAGTCAAAGGAAAGTTTTTCTTGCAACAGAAAGAAAACAACTATAAAAATTGAGCTGATGAATTCTTAGTACACTCATACTTTGTTCTTAATCTAGAATTTACATAATGCTCTTAAGCGGAAATTTTGCCATTAATCTGATTATATAATTCTTAAATTGTTCTGAAATTTTCAGTCAAAACTGATACTTTGTTCTTGAGATATTTAACATAGAAAAAAATCGGCAACATTTTGCCAAAAAACTCATAAAATCCAACTTCTCTTCAACATGTTGTATTTCCAAGAGTAAACAATAATTGTTTATTGAAAATTTTCACTGTAATCTAAATAGCATATGAGTTATTTATAAGTCAAAATCCCTTTGTTTCAATTTTTTCTTGAGGCAGAATATCTCATAGAAGGAACATTTTTCTTTATGATGGTGTCCTGCGTTAGTGGAATGGTTTAAAATTTATGAGATGGTTTCATCAGATATCTTAACAATATCACTTAAAAAAAACGAAAGCCACACGCCGCTTATATGAATAAAAGAATTATATTTTTTGCATCTCTATATGATTATTAAAGTTATTCTTCTAGTGAAATTTATTGAAATTATTCAAATATCCCTTGGAAGAAATATTGGGTTCTTAAGGGTTAAGATTTGTCTCTATGCAAAATTTCAAATCGAAATAATCTAACAGATATTTGCACGAAAGATTGAATTATTATTTCAATTTATAGTTTTCTGTTTCTTTTTTATCATGTACTTTTCTAAATTTGTATTTTAGCAAGTGTTATGTTTGCATTTATTGATCGTTCAATTGTAAAAAAAGGTTGTAAACTTTTTACCTCGAGTTGGTGTTGGTGGTCGTTGTGGTTTACCACAACAACGGTTAGAATAATTATTTGATAATATTTATTTTTCTATTATTTTTTTAATTTTATTTCGACGAACATCATTAGCATCAGCAAAACAATTATTTCGTTCAGCAAATATGACTCAACGACGGCAAAGACGAGAAATTTCAAATTTTGAATATCTTATGTATCTAAACAAG